TAACCTACTCAGTTCATTAATCCACGGACATGGATTAACTGGGTGGTAACTGAAGGCAGGTAGGGTGTGGCTGGAGGAGACAGGTCACTGTGGGTATGCCTTTGGGGTTTATATTTTGTCCTTGATGAACAGAGCTCTCTCTGCTTCCTGATTGCAATGTCCTGAGTTGCGTTCCTCCTCATCACCCTTCCACCATGATGTTCTTCATCATCTCGGGCCCAGAGCAATGGAGTCAACCATCTACGGACTGAGACTTCTAAAACCAGGAGCCAAATAAACTTTTCCTCCTCCAAAATTATTCTTATCAGGTCTTTTGGTAACAGTGAAGAAAAGCTAAATAAAACACTGAGGATGTAACTCAGCAATAGAGCATTTGCCTAGATGTGTGAGTCCCTGGGTTCAATCCCCAGCACTGCAACAAAACAGAACACTCACTAAACAATACTTTATCCCTATATATGTGACAAACTGTATTTCAGAAGCAACGAAAGGGTAACACAAATCAGGATAGTGTTAACCTGAACTAGGTTCAGGACAGTGGGACGGGACAAGACAGCATAGAGATAAATGGAAGTTACTGCCAATAGTAGTATTTCTGGATTAGATAGCGGGTGCATGGATGTTTATTATCCCTAAAACCGAATAAATGAGGGAGAGAAGAAAGTACTACAAAATGATCAGTGAGCAACCAGGGCAAATAGTCCAGGGGAAGGTGAAGACACACTGGAGAAAAGCATCACACCTGAGATATCAGGAAGTAGAAATGACAGGACTGGGTAATTGGTTGGATGTGGGGACGAGAGGAGAAGGAAGACTTATAAATGATTCTCAGATTTCAGGTTTAAGAAACTGAGTGGACAGTGGGATCATTTCATGAGAAAGGGTTCCACAAGTTTATGATGTACTGCATGAAGCTTAGGGTGACCACTGCAGTTGTCTCCCTCATATCTAATCTACCCATTCCTACCACAGAGTAGCATGTGATCAAAGTGAGATTAAACCATTCTCTGCTCCAGAGACACACACCCTGATGTGTTTGAGCTATGAGACACAACACCTCCACATATCTGACTTAAGGGCACAGTTTCAGAGGGAAGTTCAGCTATTTCTATTTGATGGTGAGAAAAGGTGGCTCTCTCCCTCTACCTATACCTAAAAAAGGATGCATTTAGTGGCTGCTAGCAAGCATTTCTTGAAGTCAGCCTAAGGGTGAACCTGATAGGAAGGCATAGCTGGAAGCAGAGTAAGGAAATGAAGCCAGGGCTTAATGCAACCAAGATCCAAGGCCGGCCTCCCTCTGGCCCCAGTTACTGTAAAAGCCCATGTAAGCAGCTTTCTCTTCCTCACAGCTAAAGACACTGAACTAATACCAAGAGCTGAAACAGAAAGGGATCTGTAAATAAAAAGCACTAGAATGTGAAAGTGTCTCAATGCAGAACAGGAAGGCAGATCTCTCCCTCCTGCTGGGAATGTAGATAGTCAACTTCTGCCCGGTGGTTGGACCAGACCACTGAATAACCTGCACTGCAGTGGTGGGGGACCCAAGAGGTGGGAAGAATGAGGCTATCCATGTTTTTGCGGCTTTTGCCAAGGTTGTACACACAGGTGTTTGTAATGGAACTCTGTATTTTTCAACGTTTTAAAATGTGAAGTGTGTTAAATGTAACATTACATAAAGTATGTGATGTTAAAATGTAAAGTATTTAAAACTCAAGTATTTAAAAAATTAAATCCTCAGAAAATACTATTTCTGGAAGGAAGTCTCAGACCCCATTTGTTCCTGTTGTTTTAGGGTCTTATAATCTATTATAATAATCAGAAACCATTTGGCAAAAAAGAAAATATATATATATATATATATATATATATAAATTTGAAAGTGAGGAAAGTTAAGATTAAATAATATTTGCCTTCAATTTTAACCTTGAGGAATTATGAAATACAAAACCTGACTCAGTTGAAATAACTAGGTAATCTGCACATCAAAGGGACTTTCCAGCCTAAATAAATTGATCGTTCAATAAAAAGACTAATACCTGAAGTATTTAACAACATAATGCTCTGATTTTCTAAAAATTCTGATAAACAGATCCTTTCTTTTTTCCAGTATAAGAAGGTCAATTTTAGCTGGACATGGTGGCACACACCTGTAATCCCAGGGGCTTGGATGGCTGAGGCAGGAGGATCAAAAGTTCAAAGCCAGCCTCAGCAACTTGGCAGCGCCCTAAGCAACTTAGTGAGACCCTCTCTCAAAATAAAAAATAAAAAGGGCTAGGAAGGTGGCTCAGTGGTTGTGTGCCCCTCAATTAAATCCCTAATACCCCCGGCTCCCCCGAAAAAGAAAGAAAGCCAATTTGGTTTTTTTTCCTAATATTTTTAGTTGTAGATGGACACAATGCCCTTATTTTATTTATTTGTTTTTATGTGGGGCTGAGGATCGAACCAGTGGTTTACACGTGCCAGGCAAGTGCTCTACCACTGAGCCACAGCCACAGCCCCAGAAAACCAATTTTAAATGTCTAGAGAGTTAAATAAGTTCTTATCATATGCAGATGTCAAGGTTAGTAAAGACAGGATAACAGGGGGCTGGGGATGTGGCTCAAGCGGTAGCACGCTCGCCTAGCATGCGTGTGGCCCGGGTTCGATCCTCAGCAGCACCACATACCAACAACATCTGGTTGACTGTCCAGTTATTCTTTTTGTCTTTTTCTGCACGTGTCCAGTTCTCTCTGAATCCATCCCAGGATATCTGTGTGCCTTCTGCTCCTATGTTTCTATCTTTTTACTCTTCCTTTCCTCCATTCTTTAGCCATTTGCTAGGGTCTGAATGTCTCTGTCACAAGAGAGCATGAGAAGGTGGGGTATTTGGGGAGGTGTGACTAGGTCTTGGGAGTGAAGCCCTCATGAATGGGATTAATCCCCATATAAGAGGCAGGGCTGGGGAACATAGCTTAGTTGGTAGAGTATTTGCCTCCCATGCACAAAGGCCCTGAGTCTGAGCTCCAGCACCAAAAAAAAAAAAAGGCTCCAGAGAGATCCCTTGCCCCTTTCACCATGTGAAGATACAGCAAGTTATCATCTAAGAGCCAGAAAGCAGGACCTTATAACATACAATCTCGCCCATGTTCTTGGTCTTCCAGCCTCCACAACTGTCAGCAACTGTGTTTATGGTGCTTTTTTTTCTATTTTTTATTGGTGCATTACAGTTGTGTATAATAGTGGAATTTGTTATTACATACTCATAAATACACACAATGTAACACTATAATTTGGCCAATATCATTCCCAGGTACTTCCTTTTCTCTCCTCTCGGCCCTCCCCTTGGTCCCTTTCCTCTACTCTACTGATCTCCCTTCAATTTTCATGAGATAACCCACCCCCACCCTTCCTTTCCTTTACATCGCTAACTTCCACATATGTGAGAAAAAATATACAACCCTCGACTTTCTGAGTATGGCTTATTTCATAATAATTTCATAATTATTTCATAATTTTCCTGCACATGACATAATTTCATTCTTCTTTATGGCTGAATAAAACTCCACTTTGTATTTGTACCATATTTTCTTTATTCATTCATCCAATGATAGACACCTAGGCTGATCAGTTTAACATATTTTCTTACAGCAGCTCAGACACCATAGTATTTAACTTGATGCGACTATTGAATAAAAGTTTTTAATCCCTGCTTATCATTTTTAGAATATAGTAGATTCTTTTTTAATATTTATGTTTTAGCGGTGGTTGGACACAATACCTTTATTTTATTTTTATAAGGTGCTGAGGATCGAACCCAGGACCTCACACGCGCCAGGTGAGTACTCTATCACTAAGCCACAATTCCAGCCCAGGTAGTAGATATTTTTATTTCTGTCTTTTTATAAAAGTGCTTCTTAAATTGATTTGTGTTGTGACCCCTTGAACTGACATACTCAGTGGGTCAGTGTCATGATAAGGTACTGCTTACTCATCACAGAATAACAATTTTCACTAAGGGTTCTTATCCTCAGATAATGTAAAATTAAGTTTATGGATTCACTGATCTACAAAAAAGTGGCATTAGGATTCTGGGACTCATGTCTCTAGGATATTCTGATTTTAATAAGACAAATTTCCTTTAAATAATTTTCTATTAAATATCTATAATATATAATCAGGTAACATCTTATAAACATGTTGTACATTTAGTAACTATCTAATTGTGACCTAACTTTGATACAAAGTTTTACTTTGATACAATTAGTTTCATCACTAACAGAATTTTCACTGTTTAAAGTATAATTAATAACATTTTACGAAGGTATGAACTCAAAGTAAGCCTATAGAGAAAAAAAAAATGAAGCAGACAGAATTAATCAATCCAAACCAAACAGCCAACAGAGTAACAGAAAGCAGACATATGAGCTCTCAGCTCCTGGAATGTAACTGCTAGCTTCTGCTTCCATCCTGCATGATTGTTTTGGTTTTCTTTTTCATAACATCAACTTAATTCTCTATGAATACAAGTGTTTCAATCATTTACATTTTAATTTGGGATACATTTAAATAATTTTCTTCTCTTGATGTAAGTTTACCAATGTCCTGCACTGAAAAAAAAAATTTTTAATAAGTTCCTCGATATTTATAAAGACAAAACAAGATACTTTAGTCCAAAGGCACTTAATGTTACAGATTAAAGAAAAGATACTTAAAAGTCAACTAGAAAGCCTCATAATCACACTCACAACTTAGATATATGTCACTGGAGAGGGAACAACTAGGTTAAGATATCTGCAATTGAACTCAACAACATGTCAAGCATTGTGATTCTCCTTGATACTAGAGAGCTTAACATGAGGTGCTCCGGGACAGTTAAGTCACTGTTGACTGGATAGAAGGGACTTATACTGACGAGCTTCCCTTTTAACTGTGACTCTAAGTGGACTAGCCTAAGGCAGTGTAGAAACAGAGCAATGAAGTGACAGGTGTTCCTTGAGTGAAGCAAGCGTGGAAGGTACTACCTGTCATAAGCGGCAATCATAAAGTTGAGGAGGAGGCTGATGGACTGTTCCACACTGATTTGGTGAGTAGAAGGAAGGCGCTTATTCAATTGATAGTAGATGGATGAGATGACGGTTTCCAGGCGGGACACACTGATCTCGGTGCTATGGTCCAGTGTATTAAGGCCATTGTCTCGAAAGGCTTCGATCATGTTCCAGATATCAACCAGATGAACTAAAACATGAAGAAAATAAGCTGTCAACAATTTTAAAGTATGGTGCTCCATTCACAACTGGACACTTACATTTATCAACTAGTTTTTTAAGTTTAAAATATAGAATTTCAGGCTGGGGCTCAGCAGTAATGCACGCGCCTGGCATGTGTGAGGCACTGGGTTCAATTCTCAGCACCACTTACAAATAAATAAATAAAAATAAAAACTTTCATCAACAATAAAAAATATTTTTTAAAAAATATACACTCTTTAATCAACAAAGAGAAACACATTCTATGGAATGATAGTCTCAGAAGTCATCAAGAAGCCACTATAAACTGGGTGCAATGGCACTTATCCCAGCGACTCAGGAAGCTAAGGTAGGAGAATCCCAAGTTCAAGATCAGACTCAGAATTCAGAGAGAACTTCAGCAACTTAGCAAACTTTGTCTCAAAACCAAAAACTTAAAAAAGACTGAGGATGTAGTTCAGTGGGAAAACACCCATGGGTTCAATACCCAGTACAAAAAAGAAGCCACTGTGGACCAGGATGGACCATCTGCACTTTTATATTTGAATAACTGGTAAATTTGAATAACATGCTTGCCTAGCATGTGTGATGCACTGGGTTCGATTCTCAGCACCACATAAAATAAAAAATAAATAAAAATAAAGGTCCATCAACAACCAAAAAATATTTTTAAAAAAATTTAATGGAGGGATCAAGAAATATTCATAATGGGGCTGGGGCTGGGGCTCAGTGGTAGAGCACTTGCCTGGCATGTGTGAGGCACTGGGTTTGATCCATAGCACCACAGAAAAATAGAAAACAAATAAAATAAAGGTGTCCACCTTTGACTTAAGGAAAACAAATTATATTTTTTTTTTCGTAAGAACTTTCGCTCTTTTTAGAAACTTGCTACATTATCTCAAGTCATCTTATTTTAATACTTTAGCCTAGAAACTCTGGCAATATTTTACAACTAAAACTTTACTGTCTATAACCCTAAGAAGAGAGAAAATACAATAGTAAAACACTAAATGCCTCATGGACCACTCACAGCTCTGAACAATGGTAAGCAAAAAATAAATTTATCTTTTGTCTCTTTTCTCCATGACTTAAGAAGCTGATTTATTTTAAATTTTATTTCTAATAACAAAGCAGCCTTGTACCTGGATCTACTCTCCCCTTAAAAATAACTAAAAATCCTAGGGGGAAAAAAACACAGAAACACCATCTTCAGTGCACTGGTAACTCAGGAAGAGTACACAATACTCAACTAGACAGAAAAGAGACATTTCCTTTATAGTTAGAATGAAACTTGACTCACTCAGAAGACTGAAACTTCTACCCAAAAGAAAGTTGATATAACTGCAACAGAAAAAAGAGGGGTTGGAAAACCACATGATCACCTAGATGGACACAGAAAAAGCATTTGGCAAAATCCATCACCCTTTCATAATACACACACAGGTTAGGAACAAAAGGAAAATTCCTCAGCTGGACAAAGGACATCTACAAAAAAAAACCACAGCTAATGCTCTCCTTAACTGGGAAAGACAGGCGCTCTCCCCTCAAGATCGGGAGCAACACATCTGAAGAATGAGCAACCAAGAAAACAGATACACTGGGTATTATTCAAATTTAAATTTGTGTTTCAAAAGATAACAGCAATAAAGTGAGAAGGCAAGGGATGGAAGAAAATATTTGCAAGTCATAATTAAGAAATATCTATGTCCAGAATACATAAATATTCTTAGAACTCAACCAAAAAAGACAAACAATTTAAATATGAGAAACAGCAAAGACACTTATCCAAAGAAGATATTCAGATGGCCAACAGCACATGAACAGATGCTATACATCATTAGTCTTAGGGAAATGCAAAACAAAAGCTCAATGATATACCACTTCACACCACTAGGATAATGATAAATTTTTAATAGAAAACATCAATTGTTGGTAAGGATTTGGAGAAACTGGAACTTTTGTACATTCCTGCATTATTTAGCTGCATTATTCACAAGTCAAAAAGGAGAAATAACCTGAGCTGGGACTGTAGTTCAGTGGTAGAGCACTTGCCTGGAACGTGTGAGGCACTGGGTTCCATTCTCAGCGCCACAAACAAACATAAATTAATTAATTAATTAACAGGGGCATGCTGTCCATCTACAACTACAAAAAAAATTTTTTAAACATATAAACAACCCAAATGCCTACCAACTGATAAATAAACAAAATCTAATATATGTACAGAATATTATTTGGCCATAAAAAGAACGAAGTACTGATATACACAGATGAAACTTGAAACCTGCATGCTAAGATTTTAGACAGTAAAGAACACATATCACATGATTTTACTTATATTTATAGTACAGAAATGGAAATCCATAGAAGAAGTAAATTATTTGTAGCCAAGGAATAGGAGGATGAGGGAACCAAGATAACTACAAATACAACAGGGAGACGAAGTCGTCCTGGAATTAGACACTGAGGAGGACTGCACAACTAACTCTCTGAATGCACTAAAACCCTCTGAACTGCACACAAGAGTGAATTTTAGTATGAGAATTATATATTCCACAATTTTTAAAAATGGTGGAACAAAACATTCCCAGAGATAGAGTTATCACATAATGATAAAAGTTTAAATTCAACTGAAACATGTAAGAACTTTTTATTTGTTTACTCCTAACAGAATAGCCTCAAATTATACAGAGCAAAAATGAACACACGCTAAAGAGACACCAAACTCATATTCACAATCTTAACAGCAGATACTAATACACCTCTCTTATTTCTAGTACAATCATAAAAAACCAACTCTGGACACAGTGGTTAACCTTCATGTCTAACAAAGTAGGCATAAGGACAACATATGAATCAATGCCCTCAGTGATTAGGATAATACGCAGCCCACAACTATAACCCCAGCTACTCAGGAGGCTGGGCAAGAGGATTCTAAGTGACCAAGCAAGATTCTGCTTCAAAATAAAAATCTTTAAAAGGGCTGAGCATGTGGCTCAGTGGTGGAGTGCTTGCCCAGTATGCACAAGCCTGTGTTCCTTAGTAGTAGAAAATATTTAAAAGATAATTTTTTAAATTAACCTTTAAAAATTAAGAAACACCCTACTAGGAAATATTCTTAACCTAATGAAGGCTACCTATCTCTAAGGAACCTGCAGTAAATGAACTACTTAATAGGAAATGTTGAAAGCCTGTGTTCTAATGCTGATAATAAGATGTGGATGTCCACCATCTTATTTCACTAGACTTGAGGCCTAACCAATAGAAACATGCAGGATAAAGTAGGAAGCAGTAAGAAAGACAAATAAATACAATGGCCATCTACTAGATATGACAAAACTATGTATGCATAAAATCATAAATATCTAAGAAATGTTATTAAAATTAATATATGGATCTAAAACAACTGATAGAGGGTCAATATATAAACGTCACTGTACTTCCATATATCACTAACATACAATGAAATTTTAAAGTGCTATTTATAATAGTACATAAGTCAGAAAGACTATTGACAAATTCAATGAATGTGCTACATTACTACAAAGAAATCTATAAATATAATTGGCAGAAATTAAAGACCTAAATAAATAAAGGATGGATTTACCATGTTCACAGAGAAAATGTCAATATTGAAAATATGTCAATTCTACCGAACTTGATCTATTTATTCATTCAGTCACAATTAAAATCCCAAGAAGACTATATATTAAAGAAGTGAAATATATGTAAATTATACCTAAAAAAAAGAAAAGAAAAAATCTCAGCAGTTCTTTGTTTTACTTGAGTTCTAATAGAAACTGTCAGATTCAAAAATCTGTATGAAAATGAAAAAGAGGCTACAAATGTCCCAGAGAATCTTAAAGAAAAACAGAATGAAGTAGGAAGACTTGCTTTACCTACAAGAAGGCTTATTAAAAGCTATCATGATGGTTACTGTACGGTATTGGTACAAGGACACAAAAACCCACAAACACAAGAGGTCTCAGTAGATCTTCTCACATACAGACACCACTATGAACATTCTTGCATATTTCTCCTAAGGTGCATGAGAGGGTTATTTGGCAATGAAAAAAAAAAGGATAGCTTTCAAAAAACAGGGAGGAGCAATGGAACGTGGATATGGACAAACATAAGGCTAACCCTACTTGTACTGTACACCCACACAAAGTTAAGGGAGAGTGTAGGACCATAAGTAAAAGGTAGAACAACGTATCTTCTATTCTGCATTTCCAACTTCACTACCCGAGTTCAGGTTCTCAAAGCTGCACACACAGGATAACTATTTCCCAAAAATAACTACGGGAGGAATGACAGAAAACAAGAATTGCTCCAAGTCAGTGGTTTTCAAATACTTTGACTACAACCCACAGAAATATATTTAAACCAATACACACACACACACACACACACACACACACACACACACACACACACACACACACACACACACACACACACTTTTTTTTACCATAAAAACTACATTCTGATACTTTTCTCTTTCTTTTGTATAACATGTTTGGTTTTTTTTTAATATTTATTTATTTTTTAAGAAAGAGTGAGAGAGGAGAGAGAGAGAGAATTTTTTATATTTATTTTTTAGTTCTCGGCGGACACAGCATCTTTGTTGTTGGTATGTGGTGCTGAGGATCGAACCCGGGCCGCACGCATGCCAGGCGAGCGCGCTACCGCTTGAGCCACATCTCCAGCCCCTGTATAACATGTTTTAAGTTGTGACTATAAAACAAGATTTCATGAAGCATCAATCCATGGGTCACAACACATGATTTGAAAAACCATGCTTTGGGAAATCAATGAAGAGAGAAATACAACTTTGACGTAGTGTAGCATAATAAACTTCTTGGAAAGAATTTTAAGCTAGGCTTTGTAAGGCTGAAAGTCTGGTAGACGTTATCAGATGTAATATAACTTGCCCAAGTTGTTTGTTTCAATAAATGGCAAACTAAGTCTAAAACCTAGGTTAAAGAGCTGGAGTTGTGAAGGCATCGATAAATTCCTTAAGGCATATGAGCTACCCAGATTGAGTTAGGATAATATAAACAACCTAAACAGACCAATATCAAGTAAGGAAATAGAAGAAAGCATCAAAAGACTACCAACCAAGAAAAACCCAGGACCGGACAGATACACAGCAGAGTTTTACAAGAACTTTAAAGAAGAACTAATACCAATACTCTTCAATCTATTTCAGGAGATAGAAAAAGAGGGAGTACTTCCAAATTCATTCTATGAGGCCAACATCACCCCGATTCCAAAACCAGATAAAGACACTTCAAAGAAATAAAACTTCAGACCAATATCTCTAATGAATATAGATGCAAAAATCCTCAATAAAATTCAGGCAAATCGGATACAAAAACATATCAAAAAGATCGTGCACCATGACCAAGTGGGATTCATCCCTGGGATGCAAGGCTGGTTCAATATATGGAAATCAATAATGTAATTCACCAAATCAATAGACTTAAAGAACCATATGATCATCTCGATAGATTCTGAAAAAGCATTCGACAAAATACAGCATCCCTTTATGTTCAAAACACTAGAAAAATTAGGGATAACAGGAAATTACCTCAACACGGTAAAAGCTATATACGATAAGACTCAAGCCAGCATCATTGTAAATGGAGAAAAATTGAAGGCATTCCCTTTAAAATCTGGAACAAGACAGGGATGCCCTCTCTCATCACTTCTATTCAACATAGTTCTTGAAACACTAGCCAGAGCAATTAGACAGACAAAAGAAATTAAAGGCATAAATATAGGAAAAGAAGAACTTAAATTAGCACTATTTGCCAATGACATGATCCTATACCTAGCAGACCCAAAAAGTTCAACAAGAAACTTGTAGAACTAGTAAATGAATTCAACAAAGTGGCAGGATATAAAATCAATACCAATAAATCAAAGGCATTTCTGTATATCAGTGACAAATTCTCTAAAATGGAAATGAGGACAATTACTCCATTCACAATATCTTCAAAATAAATAAAATACCTGGGAATCAACCTAACAAAAGAGGTGAAAGATCTATACAGTGAAAACTACAGAACCCTGAAGAAAGATATAGAAGAAGACCTTAGAAGATGGAAGGATTTACCTTGCTCATGGATTGGTAGAATTAATATTATTAAGATGGCCATATTACCAAAAGCACTTTACAGATTCAATGCAATTCCCATCAAAATCCCAATGACATTCCTTGCAGAAATAGAAAAAGCAATCATGAAACTCATCTGGAAAAATAAGAGACCCAGAATAGCTAAAGTAATTCTACGCAGGAAGAGTGAAATTGGTGGTATCACGATTCCAGATTTTAAACTATACTATAGAGCAATAGTAACAAAAACAGCATGGTACTGGCACCAAAACAGGCTGGTAGACCAATGGTACAGAATAGAGGACACAGAGACAAATTCACAAAATTACACTACCTTATATTAGACAAAGGTGCTAAAAATATGCAATGGAGAAAGGATAGCATCTTCAACAAATGGTGCTGGGAGAACTGGAAATCCATATGCAACAAAATGAAATTGAATCCCTTTCTCTCACCATGCTCAAAAGTCAACTCAAAATGGTTCAAGGAGCTAGGAATCAGACAAGAGACTCTGCGTCTAACAGAAGATAAAGTTGGCCTAATCTTCATCACGTGGGGGCAGGCCCCATATTTCTTAATAAGACACCTATAGCACAAGAGTTAAAACCAAGAATCAACAAATGGGATGAATTCAAACTAAAAAGTTTTTTCTCAGCAAGAGAAATAATATGTGAGGTGAATAGGGAGCCTACAACCTGGGAACAAATTTTTACCCCTCAAACATCAGATAGAGCTCTAATCTCTAGAGTATACAAAGAACTCAAAAAATTAAACAACAAAAAAGCAAATAACCCAATCAACAAATGGGCCAAGAACCTGAACAGAAACTTCTCAGAAGAGGATATACATCAATCAACAAATACATGAAAAAATGCTCACCATCTCTAGCAATCAGAGAAATGCAAATTAAAACTACTCTAAGATACCATCTCACTCCAATAACAATGGCAGCCATTATGAAGTCAAACAACAATAAGTGCTGGAGAGAATGGGGGGGGGGAGGTACACTCATACATTGCTGGTGGGACTGCAAATTGGTGCAGCCAATTTGGAAAGCAGTATGGAGATTCCTTGGAAAGCTGGGAATGGAACCACCATTTGACTCAGCTATTCCCCTTCTCAGACTATACCCAAAAGATCTAAAAAGAGCATACTACAGGGACACAGCCATATCAATGTTTATAGCAGCACAATTCACAATAGCTAGAATGTGGAACCAACCTAGATGCCCTTCAATAGATGAATGGATTAAAAAAATGTGGCATTTATACACAATGGAATATTACTCAGCATTAAAAAATAACAAGATCATGGCATTTGCAAGCAAATGGATGGCATTAGAGCAGATTATGCTAAGTGAAGTTAGCCAATCCCTAAAAACAAAGCTGAATGTCTTCTCTGATATAAGGGGGGTGACTCAAAATGGGATAGGGAGGAAGAGCATGAGAAGAAGACTACCACTAAATAGGGAAGAGAGGTGGGAGGGGAAAAAGAGGGAGAAGGGGAGTTGCACAGAAGATGGAGGAGAACTTCATTGTTATACAGAATACATATATGATGTTGTGATGAGAAAAAGAAAAAAAAAGTGTGTCACATTAGAATGGATAGAGAGAAAGGACGGGAGAGGAGGGGAGGAGTAGGGGGGATAGGAAGGGCAGCAGAACAGAATAGACATTATGATTGATGTATGTACATTCCATGTATGTATTATATGTCAAAATACATTCTGCTGTCATGTATGACTAAAAAAAATAAATAAAAATAAAACGTATGGTTAAAAAAAAAAAAAAAAGAGCTGGGGTTGTAGCTCAGTGGTGCAGCGCTTGCCAAGCACGTGTGAGGCACTAGGTTCAATCCTCAGCACCACATAAAAATAAATAAAATAAAGGTATTGTGTCCATCTACAACTAAAAAAATACAGAATAAAAAATAAATAAAGTCTAGGTTAATGTTCTTTTCATTATATATTATTATTTTTCATTAATAGTCCCTCTCTCCCACCACCATATACATAAGAAAAATATAATAATTCATACAACAATTCATCTTCATGGAAATTAAGAGACTACATACATATATACACACATATATCCACCTATACTTTATAGTGCACATGAAAGCAATTACTTATCAAAAGGTTAATTTTTATATTAACCTTAATCAAGAAAATTCCTACTACATATTTACCAAAACATCGATGTTTTTCTTTTTCCCCAGAAGCTGATAAATCGTATTAAAGTTTGTTTAACACATTTCTTTAACATTAGCAACAAGGAGAATTCAATTCTCATGCTTAAAGAACATTCACCATCATGCCAACCTCAAAACATTCTGTTCAACATTCTGGGGACACAGGAGTAAAATGACAAGTTCTTTCCATTATAAAGCTTATATTCTGATAAATACTTGCAACAAAAAGAATTCAATTAACATCACAATGTGTCCAAAAGATATTAAAATATTTTACAACATTGATAGCCCCATCTGCCCATCAGAGAAATGAGAAGAATGACTTACGGTTGCATCGTTTCTGTACAAAGCGTAATTTGCAAGCTGTTCTGTAAGTTGACAATCGTATGACATCAAAATTCTGTGCACCTGAAAAAAGGGCAAAAAAAATGTTCAACTGGATTTACCACTGAATTTCTTACGCTAGGAAGTGGGGCTCCACCGCGTGACCACAGCACTCAGCGGTCAGCCAGGCCTTCTGAGAAAGCCAATGTGCAGGGAGAGTGGGAGACACTTCCTCCCCTTCCCACTACAGGCAGGACTCTGCCAGCAGCCTTGCCAACATCACCCTTAGGTTGGGCTAAGTAAGCTGAGGAAGGCTGGCTCACAACTTGAGGGACCCATGCAATCAGAGAGGGGAGCAGGTGGGGTTGCAGGTGGAAGAGCAGGAAGACTCAAGCCTCGATTCAAGAAAGCTAAATTCCAGCCCCAAAAAGTCGAATGTGACGCAGCCACACTGCATATTTCTTCTCAGCCTTGGTGTCCTCATCAGCAAATCAAGGGGACTAGACCAGCTGACCAGTAAGCCTCGTTTCTAGGACTGTGGAAACCTGTACTTTCCCAAAAATGGCCACAGGGGTATTCCCAGAGCTGTGCTTTATGTACTTCTAGTACAACATCCCTCCCCTGCACTTGAACAGGAGACTGTAACTGATCAGAATTCAACAGAAGTGGAGGTAGGTGATAAGACACAGCTCAGCTTGTCCCTGCTCTGGCAGGATGCCTGCCCTGGGAACCCAGCTGTCATGTTGTGTGGAAATAGAGACCGAATGGCCAGTAGGCAGGGGCCACAGAGCAAGGTTCAGACGTAGAGGAATGGAGTCCATGCACCAAGACACTCTCAACTGCCAAACCTGTGAGTGAGTGAGTGAGTGAGTGAGCCTTAAAAATGACTCAGCCCTGAGCTTTTACTTTCTAACCAAGACCTGGGACATTCAGAACAAAGTCAACAAGTCAGAACTGGATGTCTATACCCACAAAACTAGAAACAAAATAAATGATCATTTAGGGTAACACAGTCATAGTAACTAGAATGCCACCTAAAATTACATGTCTACAAATTAAACTTTATTCTCACTGTATAATTTGCTGTAAATAAAGTCTCCTTCGATTTTAAGGTCATTTCAGATAGGTTTGGTCTCCAATGTGAGTTCCTTATTTCATCTATGCTGCCTTTATAATTCTTGACTCACTAAGGAGAAACTGAACTGGAATAAATTATCTTCTACAGTATTCATAGGCATCGCTCATTTCCACTCCACAGTATAGAAGGAGAAACAGGATTCTCCAGGTTCTTGGGGAAAGTAATTGACCAAAAGTAAAATATTTCTTTTAGTCTCACTTCTATCAACCTTTACCTTGATGCCATGATTAAAATTATTTCTTCTACACCTGGTTCTCACAAAAATGTCTATACTTCTATACCATTATTATGTAGTCCTACTTTTTTTGTGTTACAAAAACTTCTTGTTTGGTGGTGCTGGGGATTGAACCCAGGGCCTTGGGCATGCAAGGCAAACACTCTACCAATTGAGCTATATCCCCAACGTGAGATACAAATGCTTTATTTAAACGGGGCACAGTGATGCATGTCTGTAATCCCAGCACTTGGGAGGCTGAGGAAGGAGGATCATGAGTTCAAAGCCAGCCTCAGCAAAAGCAAGGTGCTAAGCTGAGGATCTGGCTCAGTGGTCAAGTGCCCCTGGATTCAATCCCCACTACCCACTCACCCCCCCCCAAAAAATACTTTATTTAAATATGATTTAGGCCAGGCCCAGTGGTGCATGCCTATAATCCCAGCAACTTGGGAGGCTGAGGCAGAAGGATTGCAAGTTTGAGGCTAGCCTTAGCAATTTAGCAATGCCCTAAACAACATAGTGAGACCCAGTCTCAAAATAATAAATATGTCAAGAGCTTTGTAATGTTGTGAACAACCAATAAAAAAATAAAAAATTTTTAAATAAATAAATAAACCAAAAAAATAAAATTAAAAAAATAATAATAATAATAATAATAAATAAAAAGGTATTGAGATATGGCCCAGGTTTAATCCCTGGTACCCAAAAAAAAGGAGAAAAAAATTCATATACCATACAAATTATTCATAAAGTATACCATTCAATGGTTATTATTACATACATAAAATTGTGCAATTATCATTATAATTGGTTTACAAAATTTTCATCATCCAAAAGAGATCTCTTCCGTTAGCCGTCACTTTGCCTACTATTTAACTGGGATATCTTACAACCAACTAGGGAGAAGTCACAAGACATATGCTTTGCAAATATTTTCTCCCGTTCTATAGGTCATCCTTTCACTCTCTTGAAGTACAAACGTTTATCATTTAAGTCCAATTTATCTATTTATTCTTTCATCATCTGTGCTTCTGATGTCATATCCAAGAAGATTCACACCTGTGTTTTATTTTTAAGTTTTTTTCTCTTGTACTTAGGTCTATGATTTTTAGTTAATGCGATATATAGTGTGAGGTAAGGACCCAAATGCATTGTTTCACATGTAGTTACCAAGTTTCTCCAGCACCCTTTGTTCAAAAGACTATTCTTTCCTCATTGAATAATCTTGAAATCCTTGCCAAAAATCAATTAGCCAGGGGCTGGGGTGGTGGCTCAGTGGCACAGTGCTTGCCCAGCATGTGTGAGGCACTGGGTTTGATTCTCAGCACCACATATAAATAAATGAATAAAATAAAGGTCCATCAACATCTAAAAAAAGAAAAAGCAATTAACCACCACTGACTCTGGTGACATAAGCTTGTAATTCCTGCAACTCAGTAGGCTGAAACAGAAGGATCACAACTTCAAGGCCAGCCTCAGTAACTTAGGGAGGTCCTAAGTAACTCAGTGAGATCCTGTCTCAAAAAATAAAATATGAAGGACTAGGGATGTAGCTCAATGGTAAAACACCCCTGGGTTTAATCCCCAGCACCAAAAAAGAAAAAAATAATAATCGACTGACCATAAATATGAGTTTAATTCCAGACTTTCAATTCTACCCTCTTAAATGTCTCCCAAAGGCCCATGTGTTAAAGGTCAAAGTCTTATTCCCCAGTGAGATGTCACTGTGGTATAGTCATTAAGAGGTGAACCCTACAGGCCACGACATAGCTCAGTTGGCAGAGTGGTTGCCTTGCATGTACAAAGCCTTGGGTTCAATCCCCAGCACCAAAAAAAAAAAAAAAAAAAAAAAAGAGGTGGGAAGTCTTCAACTCATGGGGATATGTCTTCAAAGGGGCCGAGGGACCTTGGTCTCTTCTGTCTTTCATTTCTGGCCATTTGAATGGCTTCCTCTGCTGTCTGCTTCTACTATGATGCACCATTTCACCAAAGACCCAAAAATAATGAGGACAAGAGATCATGGACAGAAACCTTCAAAACTATGTGCTGGGGCACTAAGCCACATCCCCGGCCCTTTTTATTTATTTATTTATTTATTTTTAAGACAAGATTTTGCTGCTACATTTGCTCCTTTTTTTCCTCCACAGTTGCTCTTTTTAAAATTGATTGTTCCAGGTGTTCTGTTACAACGATGGAAAGCTGACTATGTGTCTATTCTTATGGAGGAGCACATGACCTAGATTAATATAACTTTGCAGTAAGTTCTAAAGGCAGAACATGTGAGTCCTCTTCCAAGATCATTTTGGTTCTTCTAGGTCCTTCAAGTTCTCATATGAATTTTATAATCAGCCTACCTATTCTGCAAAAAAGCCAGTAAGGATTTTTTTGATCCTGAAATTGAATCTATGAATCAATTTAGGAAATATTGCCATATTAATAGTATTAAATTTTCCAGTTGATTAACACAGAGCATCTTTCCATTTATTTAGGTCTTTCTTAACTTCTTTCAACAATGCATTGCAGTTTTTAGCACACTGATTTTATACCTCTTTTGTTAAATTTATTTCTATTTTCTTTTACTCATTTAGCTTCTAAACATATTACCATCTCAACCTAAATATTTTAAATAGGGACCACTAAATATTAATTAATCAAAAGCAAACCAATGGTTTAAAGAAACAATGTTGACAAAAGTAAAAGTTCATTTAATAAATAAGCTGTCATTAGATCACTGCGTTAATTTTTTTATTTATTTATTTATTTTTAGTTCTCGGCGGACACAACATCTTTGTTGGTATGTGGTGCTGAGGATCGAACCCGGGTCGCACACATGCCAGGCAAGCACGCTACCGCTTGAGCCACATCCCTAGCCCCCACTGCGTTAATTTCAATCTCTATTTTTATGAAAGATTTTAATGAGAAATATTGACAAAACAAATGAAAATAACTAGGAGAAGAAAGTTCTCATTCCCAGTTCACAAAGAGAAAGATTACCAGTCTGGTCAGACTGCAGGGCATTCATTAGGCCATGTTTGCCTATGAGGCCATGTTTGGAGGAGAAAGTCAGTGAACTTGGTATAACTTGTTCCCTTCAGACTCTGGTGCAATCAGAGTCAGATTTGGGTACTTCAAAAAAAAATGAAATACAGCAAATATTACATAAGTCCAAAGCTAAGTAGTTTTGGAAAATGAGAAAGCTATATACTCTAGCCCAATGTGTCAGAGATCTCTACCCTAAAGTTCCAGGTACTGGTGAAGAATCAAGTGTCACTCTCCTTTCGTGGGATAGCCCAGGATTCTGTAACTGTAGGGAGTCCTGGTCACGATACCACTTTTGAAGATCTAATAGCAGTCACTTGCCAAAATAATTTCTGAAAGTAAGATATAATCAATACCTTAGAAGTTCATCAAAACTTTGTTGTGCCAACATTCCACCCACCAGGTTCCAAAACTTCCCACATGTCTACCTGCTTCTGGATTTTTTAAAAAAATATTTAGTTTTTTAATTGTAGTTGGATACAATACTTTCATTTTATTTACTTATATGTGGTGCTGAGGATCGAGCCCAGGGCCTTGCATGTGCTAGGAAGGGCTCTACCACTGAGCCAAAGCCCAGCCCCTGCTTCTGGATTTTATAAGAATCCTCATCCACTGCCTCTAGGACAACCTTCACTTTTTTTTTCCTGGGGATGTGGTTACTGGAGATCTAACTCACGGATGCTTAATCATGAG